TTTAGGAAAATGACTACATTAACTCATACTTTGAAGATGGAGATGATTTTGGTGCAGACAGTGATGACAACATGGATGAAGCAACCTATTAGACATGAAATTTCTCAAAAAATATTTCTATGATGCAACTTCTGAGCATTTGGACAGACTTATTTTCTATTTTATTTCTGATAGGGAATGAGTATTTTATTTTTGTTCCTGTTTTGTTGGACAAATATTTGTTACCAAAACATTCAGAACCACTTTGAGTTTACATACTAGTTACCTTACAAATTAGTCTCTGACACTCTGACATTCCTTCTAAACACCTCCGCTATCCCTCTTAGGTACTTTAGTGGGTTTTTTTTGTTTGTTTTGTACTATTTGGATTTGAATGTGCCTGAAGAATTTTTGCATCTCAGTCTATATAGTCATACTTGAAGAAATCATTCTTCTTTAACTGCTGATCTTTTGTAAAACTATTACTAGTCATAGTTAGTCATGGATTTCTATAATCTGAAAGTTGATTTAATACAGCACATGGAGCACTTTAAAAGCAAAAAAACTTGAAAATAATTTTATTTTTTACTTTTACATGGTATGTTCTATACTACTACATTATGACTACATAAACCTACTTGAGCTCTTACAAGTACAAATTTATGAAATTAGAGGTTTCATGATCAAAAACATACAGGGAAAAAGGCCTATCTGAGCTATATAAATTTCATAGCTCACATCTCAGCCAGTACAAAGAAACATTCATGTGGGGTGAATATTATAAATACTTGAATTTGGGGCTAACTTAGTACCATATATTATTGAGTTAATCATCCCACTGTAGTAAGTTTGAGTTCTTCAGATAGTTGGGCTTATGAAAAATTAGGCTGAGACATCTTATTTTTGTACTTCACGTAAGTGTGGAATAAATAGAATAGGTTCTGGTCATATAAATATCATTGCAGAATGCATGTGTGTGAACTCAGTGACGTGTAGCAGCCTGTTTCAGAGTACTCATAAACTGTACAATTGATTTATATAATCATATAGAATGAACTCAGGTCATTTTGAAATTAAGAGTAATGTTTTTTGTTTAACTTAAAAGCTAGCTCCCCTGCCTTTTTATATTTTGGGGGAAAAATACCTAAAAACCTCAGCCTACAAAGACACTCACAAATGCCAAAGATTTTCAAGGAAATTCATATTATATATTTCAAAAATTATTTGTTAATATTACCCACCAGAAGAAATAAATTTTATTTTTCCCCTTTGGGAAGATTTCACTCATGACCCTCTAACCTGGGAATCAGAGTCCTAGACTCTATTTCTACCTGTACTATTAAACTCAACCTTGAAACTGAGCTTGGTTAAGTTTCTGTGCCTTAGTTTCTCCACTTGTGAACAATTGCCTATAAAAATTATTTAAACACCAACCCAAATTTACCACATGTATTTATTCTCTTACAGAAACAATCGTTTCTTAATTTAAATTAAAATAAACTTTGCAAACTAAAAAACTGTAGTTTGGAAAGTAACTGAAAATACACTTTTGAGAAACAAACATGTTTTCTTCACAAAATATATTGTAATCTGATTTTCCCATCTTGTATTTGTGGGGAAAATTGGAGAAAATCTGTATTGTCTTGTGCCATTTTGTAACATGACTTTCTCAGGAAAAAGAAAAAAGATCACTTTCAATGGCAATACTTCCTCAGATAATTCAAGATGAGCTTGAGGACCCACCTTATACATGAATAAGTCTACTCTAAAGAATCAGTCTACTATACTTAGAATAGAAACCTCCTATAAAGGTGTCATTTGAGATTGATAATTAACCGTAGGTGTTTTATTCTCTCACTTTAGTACCAAAGGCAAATAAATACCATTTAGTTCTTAGAAATCTTATCTCTACTGCTTTGTTTACTTTAGAGATGACCACTTGAATCAGGCAAATACACTGAAGGTAAAGGTATTTCTTTTCCTAGCTTTCAATTTGTCTTGACCATTTTAATCCTGCAGATAGTAGGGCAG